CGAGGAGGGGAAGGAGTGGAAAGGGCATGGAGAAGCAGGAAGACAGGGCAGAAACATTGATGCAGGTAGGAGTACGAAGAGGAGGAGGAGGAGGAGGAGAAGGAGGATGAGGAGGAGGAGGAGGAGGAGGAGGAGGAGAAGGAGAAGGAGAGGCGGAGAAGGAGGAGGAGGAGGAGGACAAGGAGGAGGATGAGGAGGAGCAGTTCGAGGAGGACAAGGCGGAGGAGGAGGAACATGAGGAGGACGAGGGGCGGGTGGATAAGGACGGAGAGCACGAACGGGCAGAGCTGCAAGATGAGGAGGGGGATGATGATCACGCAAGAAGGGCTGGCTAGACGTAGAGTGTGAGGAAGGACTGGGTGGTAATGGCAATGATGATGCTGATGCTGGTGATGATTAGGATGAGGTGGATGGTGCAGATGATGATGATGATGCTGATGATGATGATGGTGATGATGATGATGGTGTTGCTGATGCTGATGGTGAGGAGGATGCTGATGACGATGATGATGCTGCTGATGATGATGGGAATTCCCGTGAATAGCTTTTCTAGAGTGTCGACCTGGTGATCCTCGTCGTCGTCGTCGTCGTGGCCGTCGCCCTCGTCGTCGTCGTCGTCCTCGTCGTCGTCGTGGTCGTCGTCGTCGTCGTCGCCGTCCTCGTCGTCGTCGTCGTCGCCGTCCTCGTCCTCGTCGTCCTTGTCGTCCTCGTCGTCGTCGTCGTCGTCGTCGTCGTCGTCGTCGTCCCGCTCCTCCTCCTCCTCCTCCTCCTCTTCCTCCTTCTCCTCCTCCTCCTCCTGCTCCTCCTCCTCCTCCTCCTCCTCCTCCTCCTCCTCCCCTCTCTCTCTGGCACGCGGCGCGGCGGCGGGCGGCGGCGCCGCCGCCTCCGATGGTCGCCGTCACCGCCGCCGCCAGCACCTGGCGGCGGGGTGGGGGCGAAGGCGACGACGAGGGCGACGACGACGACGACGACGAGGGCCGACGACGACGACGAGGGACGACGACGACGACGAGGGAGAGGGGGGCGATAGTAGGAGGAGGTGAAGGAAGCGGCGGAGGTTCAGGGGATGGAGGAGAACCAGAGGGGGGAAGTACGAGGAGGGATCTCCTCTCCTTCTCCCCCCTCCTCCTCCTCCTCCTCCTCTTCCTCCTCCTCCTCCTCCTCCCCCTTCTCATCCTCCTCTCCATGCCCCCCCGCCCCCCGCCCGCAGGACGACGACGTCGTCGTCATCATCGGGGGGGGGGGGCACCTGTTGGCGATGTTGTCGTAGTCGGGGGCGATGTTGTCGTAGTCGGGGGGGGGCGAAGACAGCGCGCGACGACGACGACGAAAACGACGACGACGATGACGACGACGACGATGACGATGATAATGATGAGTATGACGATGACGATGATGATGATGATGATGACGATGACGAAGATGGGGACGACGATGATGACGATGATGGGGAGGACGACGATAATGACGGTGATGAGGATAGTCGTGATGATGGCGACGGTGATGATGATGACGATGATGATAGTGGTGATGATGGCGACGATGGTGATGATGACGATGATGATGCTGATGATGATAGTGGTGATGACGATGGCGACGATGGTGATGATGACGATGATGATGATGATAGTGGCGATGATGGCGACGATGATGATGATGATGATGATGATGATGATGATGACAAATCCCAGGAAGACCGAAACCGATCCCCAACATGCCGAACAGAATTTGTTTCATAAGGTCAAATAGCAATCAAGGAAGGGAGCGGATCAGGAGAAGATTTCCAGGACAGCGGATCAGGTCCGAACCCGCAAGAACCTTGCTAAGGACCGCCCAGGAGGGAGCACTGGGCGGGCGCTGGGGCCGCGGGGGTGCGCTGAGACGGCGCGGGGGAGGGGGCGGAGGGGGGGGGGGTGCGGTGCCGAAATAAAGTGGTCGGGGCGGAGTGGGCACTGGGCGGGCGCTGGAGCCGCGGGGGGCGCTGCAGACGAAGCGCGGGGAGGGGGCGGAGCGGGGGGGGGAGGGGGGGTTTGCTGTGCCGAAATAAAGTGGTCGGGCGGAGGGGCAACTGGGACGGCGCTGGACCGCGGGAGCGCTGAGCACGAGCGCGGGGGAGGGGGGGGGGCGGATGTGTTGGGGGGGGATGCGGCGCCGAAATAAAGTAGTCGAAGCGGAGGGGGCACTGGGCGGGCGCTGGAGCCGCGGGGGGGCGCTGAGACGGCGCGGGGGAGGGGGCGGAGCGGGGGGGGGTGCGGTGCCGAATAACGTGGTCGGGGCGGAGGGGCACGGGCGGGCGCTAGAGCCAGCGCGGGGCGCTGAGACGCCGGTGGAGGGGCGGAGGAGCGGGGGAGGGGGGTGCGTGCGAAATAAAAGTGGTTCGGGGAGGCGGAGGGACATTGGCGGCGTGGAACGCGGGGCGCTGAGACGGCGCGGGGGAGGAGGCGGAGCGGGGAGGGGGGATGCGGTGCCGAAATAAAATGGTCGGGGCGGAGGAGGCACTGGGCGGGCGCTGGAGCCGCGGGGGGGCGCTGAGACGGCGCGGGGGAAGGGCGGAGCGGGGGGGGGTGCGGTGCCGAAATAAAGTGGTCGAGGCGGAGGGGGCACTGGGCGGGCGCTGGAGCCGCGGGGGGGCGCTGAGACGGCGCGGGGGAGGGTGCGGAGCGGGGGGGGGTGCGGTGCCGAAATAAAGTGGTCGGGGCGGAGGGGGCACTGGGCGGGCGCTGGAGCCGCGGGAGGGCGCTGAGACGGAGGGGGCGCATGATGATGATGATGATGTGGATGATGATGATGATGGTGATTATGATGGTGATTATGATGGTGATGATGGTGATGATGATGATGATGATGAGGATGATGAGGATGATGATGATGATGAGGATGATGATGATGATGATGATGATGATGATGATGATAATGATGATGATGATGATGATGATGATGATGATGATGATGAAAGGGGGGGGGTGCGGTGCCGAAATAAAGTGGTCGGACCTCTAGACACCCTGTGCAAGAGAATAAACGTGTGTGTGTGTGCTGGCCGAGATATCGGCCGAGTAAGGTCACATTGTCGGACGAAGCCAGGATGAGGACAAGTCCGTTCCAGAGTGTTCCGGGACGCTATCAGAGCGTTCCGGAACGCTCTGAGACGGCCGCGGCGCCCGAGACATCCTCCAGAGCCGCGGGATCTCACAGATTCTCGATTTATCCTCACCCCCTCACCCGATGTTATCCTCGTCCTGGCTTCGTCTCACATTGAGATGCTGCATTCGGCGTTCTAGGAGAACGTGGCAATTTCGGCCGGATCCTTGGCCAGGAGGGGTCCCAAACCCTTGTGTTCCGCGCTGTCAGCCTGACGAGCAGCGCCGGCGTCGAGAAGCTATGGCCCGCGCGCTCGTGCCCTACGGTCCGGAACTTTGGCTCAGCGCGTCGCGCTTCCCAGGCGTCCATGTGGGGAGCTTGTGGCGCCAAACGCAAGCGCGCAAGAAGCTATCATGAGGATGTTCCAACCTGCTTGAGCCTCGATGACAAGAAGGGGTTCCGAGCACCGAGGAAGCACCGAACCTGGACGATTTTCACGTGTTGGGCCTTGGGAGGTCATACGCGCTCGGCACCACTTCGATGCTCTCCTGGGTGCTCGAAACCATTGTCTGGGACGTGGCCCTGGAGGGCGACGGGAGCCACGTGAAGCTGCCATCGCATCGCCCCCGGCGATCGGGGGGCTCCGCTGGGCCCCCCACCGCACCCAGAGGCCACCCCGGCGGAGGGCGCCTGGGAGCGCCTGGGAGCGCTTGGGAGCGCCTGGGAGCGCCTGGGAGCGCCTGGGAGCGCCGGGAACCGCCTGGGAGCGCCTGGGAGCGCCGGGAACCGCCTGGGAGCGCCTGGGAGCGCTTGGAGCGCCTGGGAGCGCCTGGGAGCGCTTGGGAGCGCCTGGGAGCGCCTGGGAGCGCCTCGCCCTCGGCGATCGGGGGGTTCCGCTGGGCCCCCCACCGCACCCGGAGGCCTTCATCGCGAGGCGGCGGGCAGAGCCGCGTTCCTCACTCCTCCTCCTCCTCCCCCTCCACCTCCCCCCCTCCTCTCCATCCTCCTCCATCCCCCTCCTCCTCCTCCTCCTCCTCACTCACCCATCCTCCTCCTCCACCTCCACCTCCTCCTTCCGCCTCCTCCTCCTCCTCCTCCACCTCCTCACCTCCTCCTCCTCCCTCCTCCTCCTCCTCCCCTCGGGTCGCCTACGGCCCTTGGGGAAACCGTGCAGGCGGGCCCAGGGTCCTCTGCGCGCGCTCCCGGGCGGGGGGCGCAGGCCCCGCGGAAGCGGAGCGGCACGCCGCGTCCGCTCGCGGGGAGGGCTCTCCGAAGGGTTTCGGCGACCCGTCCTCTTCTCCTCCACCTCCTCCTCCTCTCTTCCTCCTCCTCCTCCTCTTCCTCCTCCTCCTCCTCCTCCTCCTCCTCCTCCTCCCTCCTCGCTCTCCTCCTCCTCCTCCTCTCCTCCTCCTCCCCTCCTCCTCCTCCCCTCTCCTCCTCCTCCTCCTCCTCCTCCTCCTCCTCCTCCTCATCCTCCTCCTCCTCCTCCTCCTCCTCCTCCTCCTCCTCCTCCCCTCGGGTCGCCTACGGCCCTTGGGGAAACCGTGCAGGCGGGCCCAGGGTCCTCTGCGCGCGCTCCCGGGCGGGGGGGGGCGCAGGCCCCGCGGAGCGGAGCGGCACGCCGCGTCCGCTCGCGGGGAGGGCTCTCCGAAGGGCTTCGGCGACCCGTCCTCTTCTCCTCCACCTCCTCCTCTCCTCCGCCTCCTCCTCCTCCTCCTCCTTCCTCCTCCTCTCCTCTTCCCTCCTCCTCCTCCTCCCTCCTCCTCCTCCTCGTCCTCGTCCTCCTCCTCCTCCTCCTCCTCCTCCTCCTCCTCCTCCTCCTCCTCCTCCTCCTCCTCCCCTCGGGTCGCCTACGGCCCCTGGGGAAACCGTGCAGGCGGGCCTGGGGTCCTCTGCGCGCGCTCCCGGGCGGGGGGGGCGCGCTCCCGTCCGCGTGCCTGGATGCCTCCTGGCTCAAGCCGTTTTGGCATGAGTCGCCTTTTGGAGCAGCCCTCCGCGGTCGGTGGGACGCCGCGCGCACAGCCTCGGGCCTCCCTAGTGGGCTCCGAGCAGATGGGGTCTCAGGATCGCGAGGCGTCGCGGCGTCGCCTACGCACCGCCGAACCCCGAGGTGGAGCCTGATTTTCTCCACGCCGACGGCGCCGATGCATCGCCGGCGTCGCCGATGCATCGGCGATGCACTGGCGATGCGGCCGGATCCTCCGGCCCCAGCTGCTCGGACTCCCAGCGGGGAGGCCTCGGACAGCACAGCGTGCTGCAACTCATGGGGCAAGGCCTCGCCACCAGCGCGTGCGCCTGCTCCCCCAGCGGCGGCGGCGACGGCGTGCTCCACGCAGCGCAGGAAGCCCGTGCGCCAGGGGCTGCGGCCGAGGATCCCCAGACTCAAGCAGTGGCCAAGCGCTCTGACTGCCTGCACGGTCGGACCGAGGTATGAGAGCGAGGTCGGTCCGGGGAGGATGCCCTTATGTTCTTCGTGCTGGTTGCATGTTCTTGTGCTTCCTGGGGGCGAGCACCCTCGAATGTTCTTCAGTTTGGGCCGGCGAAAAATCTCGTGTTCTCAGGGGATGGCTTTCCTTCAATACTAGGTCCGACTATGGGTCCGCCAAGGGATGTTCCAGGAACCTTGGTTGTTGAACAGCATGTTCTTCACACATTTCTGGGTAAGGCCGTCTTGCTGCTTCCATCAACCAGCTTCATGTTCTAAGACATTGCGCTTCCCAAACGTCCTCAGTGGGTTCTTGCTTCCTCAGGACACCCCGAGCAGTACACTCCTGATCCCCGTGTCTTTCTCTCATCGCACACGCACGCGTTCAATCACACATTCTCACATCCACACACACATACACCCACACACGCACACACGCACACACAGACACACACACACACAAACACACACACACACACACACGCTCACATTCACACACTCACGAAGTCACACGCTTCCACACTCGCACACCCACGTTGAGGAAGTCTCGAGCGGGAGCCTCGTGTGTGAGCGAGTCGCGAGGCAGCGTTGGGCGCGAGCCTCTCCCGATGGGATTCCCTCCTCCATGCTCGAATCCGACCGGGGTCATTCAAACCTTGCAGCTGTGGTCACTTTGGGGTTCGTCCGGCCAGAATCTGGAGGACGTCTCAAGCGGGAGCCTCGTTTGGGAGTGAATCGCGAAGAAGTCTCTCGCGGGAGACCCCTCCCTATGGGATCCCCGTGGTCATCCAAACCCTGTAACCATCGTGTCTTTTCGGCTCCTCGGGCCTGAGTCTGAATGAAGTCTCGAGGGGGAGCCTTGTTTGAGAGTGAATTGCGAAGACGTCACTAGCGGTAGCCCTCTCCCTATGGGGTCCCCGCATCCATGTTCGAATCCGAGCGGGTCATTCGCTTACTGAAGCAGGCATACTATTTGAGTGCCACAAGTCGCAAAGTGTGAGGACGTCTCGAGCGGGAGCCTCGTTTGTTAGCCAATCGCACTAAAGTGTCGAGCGGGAGCCCGAGGCGCAAAGGTTACACAGGTCCCACAGGTCCCACAGGCCGAACAGGACTCACAGAGCCCACGGTTCCCACAGGTCGCTCAAGGCCAACACGCTCCACACGGCCCACCGGTTCCAAAGGCCCCACAGGTCACACAGGTCCACGGGTCTCGTTAGTCTCACAAGTCTCACAGGTCTCACAGGTCTAACACCTCGCACAGGTCCCAGGGGTCCCACAAGTGCCACAGACCCCAGAGATCCCTCAGGCCGCACAGGTCCAACGAAGATTCCACAGGTCCCACACGTCTTACAGGATTCGCAAGTCCCCCAAGACCCATAGATCCAACACACCCTGCAGGCCGCATATTTTTTTTGATGGGCCCCAAGTCTCACGGATTCCGCAGGCTGCTCAGGTCGCGCAGGGCCCGCAGGTAGCACAAGCCCTGCAAGTCTCAAAAGCCCCACGGGCCCCACAGGTCTCAACGGCCTCACAGGTCGCATCCTGGCATCCTGGCATCATCACCATCGTGAGTCGTCGATGATGATGATGTATCATGAGCACTCAGGCGCATTGTTAGGAAGGCCTTACGGCCAGTGCCGCCGACCCTGAAGGAGAACGACGACGACGACGACGACGACGACGACGACGACGACGACGACGGCGACGGCGACGGCGACGGCGACGGCGGCGGCGGCCGCGGCGGCGGCGGCGGCGACGGAGACGGCGATGCGACTGCGCTGACGCTTTGGAGTCCTTCTTGGGGCTCTCTTGGGAACCTATTGGGCTCTCTTGGGGGGCCTCTTGGAGGACTTCTGGGGAAGCTCCGTGGCAACTTGGAGCCGCCTCGGAGCAGACCTGAGGCTTCTTGGGGGCATGTAGGAAAACATGCAGCACCCCGCAGCAGCAGATGTGAGTCGGGAGGGTGCCTCCGGGGTGTGCTGGGGGTCTGGGAGGAGGGGGCGATGGTGGCCCCCCCTTTTCCATCAGGGGGGAGGCGCAGGGAGGGGTCTTGAGCTCTCCGTGCCCACAAGGGGGCCCCCCCCTGTCCCCTCTGCCCACAAAGGTGAGCCCCCCCCCGGTGGGGAAGTCACGACCCCGGGGACCCCCTCGGGAACCCCCCTGGGACCCCCTCCTCCTCCTCCTCCTCCTCCTCCTCCTCCTCCTCCTCCTCCTCCTCCTCCTCCTCCTCCTCCTGGCACCCACCCCCCCACGACCTCCCCTGCTGGACCACCCAGGACCCCCCCAAAGGTTCTCTCCTCCCACCCCCGCCAGCACCCCCGCCGAATCTTGACGCTGTTTGCTTTCCGTCTGGCTGGGTCCTTGGAGGAGGAGGAGGGCCCAGGGAAAGAGAGGGAGCGGCGACGGCGACGACGACTCCAACGGAAAAACGTTTCACACACGCCGACAGGGTCGGCGGATTGAGTTCTCAAAACGTGTCGTGGTAGCCCTGCAGGAATACTAGGAGGGCCGGCCCATTCTCAACAGACCTCCGACGTTGTGCGTGTGTCAATGCGTGACCCCAGAGGTCCTGACCTTTCCGTCAGCTCTGGGCGTCCCACTCTTGTACGCCGCGGGCCTTTTTTGTCCAGTTTCGGGCGCCCAGGACCAGCACAGCTCGATCTGGCTCCAAACATGTGAGGTTGATTCAGTACTCTGCTCGAGTTCTGCATGATCTTGCACGTCGTCTTGCGACGCCGGATCTCAGGGCTTCCCGTGGGTAGTCCTGCGTGCTGGAATCATTTCTGGCGGCCCCAGAGTCCGATCGACGGGGGGCCCATCGGTCACCACCACCAAACTTCCCCAACCCAACCCGAAGTCCCCAGTTTGCCCTCCACTCTCAGTCGGGGGGGTGTCGGGGAACACTGGAACAACACACATTGAATCAAGTCGGGCCCGTCCCCCTACAAGAGGAATATTCAAAAATAGTCCAAAAACAGTGTGGGGACTGTTTATTGAGCATTTTTTTGACAAATGTGGGGGTATGTTTTTGATATGTCTTATCTTTTGTCGAAAATGCCCCCGTCGGGGGACACGCCCGACTGGCTCGAGATCGAGGAGCACCGCGCCCGCAGCGGCGAAACGTCGTGCCCTCGGAGGCCCGGGCCCCGGCCTCGGAGGGCACGCATTGGGCGGCGAGCCCCGGGGGGAAGCTGACAGCGCGCCGCGGGGCGCGATGTGCGATGCTCGTCGTCGCGGACGACGACGTCGTCGTCGTCGCCAGGGCTGAAATGAGAAGGAGAATGCCTTCTCAGAAGGCGGCGGGGTTTCTCAGGAGCCTCTTGGCACTCGCTCAGAGAAGTCGTCTCGGAGAAGTCCGCGCCGCACACCGCACCCAGAGAAGTCGGCTCTGCCTTCTGGGAAGGCCTGGAGCACTTGCCAGAAGGCCGGAGGCCTTCTGAGCCTGCTGAGAAGGCCCGCTCCCTCCGTAACTCAGGCCTCCGGTGGCCCTTCGGGACCATCCGGGCACCCCTGGAATCGCGGTCGATGTTTCTCCCCCAATCCCCGAGTTTTCGTCCGAAAAGTTTGGCCGCTCAGAACATTGGGAAAACCATGGGATATACCCCAAGGGGGCTATTCGGACGCACCCCTTTCGAGGATGGACGCCCCCCCATCGTATATCCCAGGGTTGGGCCCCAAATTTCTGGTCCATTCGGAAACCCCACGAAGCCTGGGACAGGGGTCGACATATCCCCTGATACGGCAGGTTCGCGTCGTGTCGACCGGCGGCGACCCCGACGCCGGCGTTCAACGTTGAACGCCTGCGGCGGCCCAGAATCGGTCGATGCTGAACGATCGGACGTGGCGGAACGGGCCGCTCGCTCAAGGTGGAACGATCCCTGCGGTGTCAGGAACCAACGCCTGGGTCGTCACGACACGAAGCTTTCGTACCAGCACGCTCTCGGCGAGGCGCCGCGGCGAGAGCGCCTCCCGAGGCGGGGCGGGCGCCAACGGCATCGACGAACGCGCCCGGCCTCCCGCGCAGAGCCTCGGGCCGCCCTCTGCCTGCGCGCCCCCGAGCAGGCCCGCCCCCCCCTCCCCCCCCTGGGGGCTCGCCGCCCTCTGGAGGATCGGGCCGGACGACAGGGGGGGAAATTGGGCAAGGGGGGGGGGGCTACGAAGTCTGCGGCAGGCCGCTGGTTTCGGCCCCACCGAGGGGCCCACTCCTCGATGCATAGGTCGAAGTCGCCTCCGGCGCCTGGAGGCGCCGGAGGCGACAGCAGCCACGCGAGCTGCTTCTCGCGCCCCTCCTCTGCTAACAGGGGGGGAAATTGGGCAAGGGGGGGGTACGAAATCTGCGGCGTGCCGCTGGTTTCGGCCCCACCGAGGGGCCCACTCCTCGATGCACAAGTCGCCTCCGGCGCCCGGAGGCGCCGGAGGCGACAGCAGCCACGCGAGCCGCTTCTCGCGCCCCTCCTCTGCCATCCACCCCCTGTCGCCCGGCCCGAGAGGAGCCCGCGCCCGCCGCGGCTGCCAGCGACGGCGGGAGCGAGCTGCTCCAGGAGGACTGCATGGGGCACTCCTCCTCCTCCTCCTCCTCCTCCTCCTCCTCCTCCTCCTCCTCCTCCTCCTCTCCTCCTCCTCCTCCTCCCCTCCTCCTCCTCCCCCTCCCCCCCCTCCTCCCTCCTCCCCTCCTCCCTCTCCTCCTCCTCCTCCTCCTCCTCCTCCTCCTCCTCCTCCTCCTCCTCCTCCGGGCCGGCCGCGCTGGGCGCGGTGCCCCCCGGGGGGGGGGGGCCCGGGGGGTCCGGGCGCGCCGCAATCTGGGCTGAAGACGGGCACGTCCCCCTACAGGAGGAAGATGCAAGAAGGGTAGAGCAAACATGGATTGGTGACGACTCTTCGTGCTGTGACCGTTGCCGATGTTTTGGGGCTGTCTTAATTAATTTGTCTTCCAAGCGCCGCCGGTAGGAGGACACGCCCGACAGACGCCTGGGCCTCTCTGGCAGGCGTCGGCCGAGGCCCAGGATTTCGCAGACAACGAGAGTATACCCTGGGATCTGGGCGCTGCAGCTGTTGCACGCGGGGCGTTTTCGCCCAGTTTCAGGCCACGGGACCCTCACAGATCGGCCAGGCTGGAAAGATGGCGCATAGAGATAGGGTCTGGGGCTCCAGTCGTGATGTTTCTCGACCCTGTATTTTTTCGCGACGTCGGATCTCAGGGAACATTGTTTTTCATAGTTGTCTGCCTTTGGGGCCCCTCGCCGTGCCCGGGGACCGTTGACAAACTACTCAAGGAGCTTGCACGGGGTGAAGGGTCAGGACTTTGGGGACCCCGTCTAGAAAAATCAACGAGTCATCGCCTTTCGGGAATCTGCACAAATATAAGTTTGCGGAGCTCTGCGCGGATTTCTTGGATCGGCGCTGGCATGGCGCCCCCTGGCGGCGCACCCGGCGCCGCCCCTGGCGCGCTCCGCGCGCCAGGGAGGGGGGTCCAGCGCCGATCCAAGGGATCCGCGCGGAACTCCGGCCGTTTCTGGCTGTGCCCGTCTTTCACCACCCACCAAACCACCCCAACCCACCCGGGGTCTTCGGATTGGGTTGGGGTGGCATGGTCGGTAGTCAATCCGTGGCTCTCCTGCAGGACTCCTGCCCCTCGTTTCTCCGGCAGACGACGGCCGAGACCGAGGCTTCTCTGCTCTCGCCGACGCAGCAGCAGGCCTCGTCCGACAGCGAGGGCGCGCCTCCCTCGTCAGGCGTGCGCGCGGACGCGGCCTGCATGCCGAGCTCCAACGCGTCGTTCTCGAGCTGGGTGAACTCGCTGAAGGCAAAAAGGAAGGAGCGTGCGTGCTCTGAGGCAGAGGTTCGAAGAATCACAAATTGCATAAAACATGCATTTCTCGAGTAGCGGGTCGTCTACAGCATTAATCTGCTCCAAATTTGAGTTGTTCGTGGAATGTACGGAAGAAACGCGTACCATGTTCGAGGATCTGCGAACGTGATGCGTATGTTTGGGACATGCGACGAGAAAATCGAACTTGGGGTACACCAATTCTGCAGACGATCCCCTCCCCGAGCCTTCTGGAGCTCCGCGCGGATCTCCTGGATCGTCGCCAGACCCCCCCCCTTCCCGGGCGCGCGGAGAGCGCCAGGGCCGGGCGGCTCTGGACCCAGACCCCCGACGTCATGATTTTTTCATGACGTCGACCCCCCGAGGTCTCGACCCATTCCCCGGGACCGGTTTTTCGTCCCGAATCGTTTTTTGACGCTCCCGAGGGCCGGTGAGGGCCCCCAAAGGCCAAAAATAATGACCCCCCCCCCGTTGTGATTTTTTCATAACTCGAGGGGGTCTGGGGAGGCGTCGCCCAGGGGGCGTCGAAAGCGCGTGCCTACGGCCAGGAACTGTGGCTCAGCGTGTCGCGCCGCCGGCCCTGCCCCACCACGCTGCCGCGCGGCGCGCTCCGTCCACGGCCCGCGGTCTCCCCGGGCGTCAAAACGCGGAGCGCACCGACACGACGCGTCCGCTCGCGGGGCCTCGCGCGCCGCGGGGGCCCCCGCGGCGACACGCTGAGCCGGCACCCCCGGGCCGTGTGCCCGCCTCCTGCCTGGCTCGGGCCGCCTTGGCGTCAGCCGCTCCCGAGTCTCGGAGCGGCCCTCTGCGGTCGGTGGGGCGCCGCGCGCACGGCTCCGGGCCTCCTGGACGGGGTCCGGGCAGAAGGGGCCTCGGGATCGCGCTGCACCGCCCCTGCGCCGCGTGACCGCACGCCGTGTTCTGCTCCAGGGCGGGACCCAAGTGGTGTCTTTGGTAATTTCGTGGGCCGTTTTCGTTTCGACTTCGTTTTGCGGTGCAGGAGGATTCGAGACAAAAGCGAGGGGAAACGAAAACACAGCGTAAACGAAGCACATCGTTTATGTACAGCCCTGTTCTGCTCCCTCCGAGGTGCGTGCGTTCCTCCAGGCGCATGGCTTCTCCGACGTCAACCAGCTGCGGAGGGCCTCCCGCTTCGGCGCCGTGCGCCGCCCCCTCCACGTGGCCGTCGCGCTGGGCGACAAGGCCATCCTCGAGCTGCTGCTCCTGCACGGCGCGGACCCCACGCTGCCCGATGCCGTTGGCCACCTGCCGGGTCACAGGTGCGGGGCGAGCAGGAGCTCGAAGAGCAAGTCATTGGCGAAGCATCTACACATATTTCTTTTTCTATGTTTTTGTCATCTGTTTTTGTCATCCGGGGGGGTGCGACCCCCCCCCCCCGAAACGGGACCCCCCGGGATCCGTGGCACGGGGGGAGGCCGGAAATCCTTGCCAAGGAGTGCACGCAGGCAGGTGGCAGTCCCAAATCGGTCGGCGAAAGGCCAAGAGCTACCCAAGACGGTGCAGGATGGCATCCAGCTAGCCTTGACCCCCGCCGGATGCCCGAAGATCACCCCAATGTCACCCCAAAGAGGCGTTCGAACCCCAAACACATCGATGTTCCATCGGTTTTTGTAGGATTTTCGGATGCTCGCTAATTCGGCCTTCCACGCGTCCGAGAACGTTGGAAACGCAATGACAACCGCTCCTAGACGGCTCAAAGGAGCCCCATGAGCGCCCGAAGCCGTCCCCAAATTGCCCACAAGAGTCCCCATGACCGCCCCAAACAGACCCCACGACGGCTTGCGCAAGGCCTTAGAGACGCCACAAACGGTCCAAGATGGCATCATGCAGTCCAGGCCCTTGCTGGATGCTCGAAGGCGCTTCGAATGTCACCTGCAAGAGGCGCTCGAAACCTTACACGTCTTGATTTTTCTAAACTTTTTTATGCTTTTTCCACTATGTCCTCATTCGGCTTGCCAGGCTTCCGAGAACGCAGGCGAGGCACCAAAAACCTGCCCCGACTCCAGCAAAGCCGTACGGGGGCCCAAGACGGCTCCTAAACTGCCCACAGGCGGCCCCATGACCACCCCAAATTGACCCCAAGGCGGCCGGCGGAAGGCCCAAGACACGCCCCAGACGGTCCAAAATGGCACCAAGTTGGCCTTGGCCCTCGTCGGATGCCTTCAGGCGACCCGACAGGTTCCTCCAGGACGCGCTTGAACCCGAAACAACACGGATGATTCAGTGACGTTGTAAGATTCACTACCATTAGTTCCGTCGGCCTGCAGGGTGTCCGAAACATGGTCAAAGCTTCGAACACCTAGGGGGCCACATGCGAACCCTACCCCTACCCCCCACGATTTCTGAGGGGGAGGGTGGGGTTCATGTCGCTCAGGAGCTCCCAAACGAAGTGAGCCCCACCCTCCCCCTCAGAAATCGTGGGGGGGGGGGGTAGGGTTCGCATGTGGCCCCCTAACACCGCTCCAACTAAACCCAAACGCGCTTCCTGAATCCCCAAAGCGGCCCCACGAGGGCCTGGGACGGTCCCCAACCTGCCCATGGGCGACGCCCTGACGGCCAGGGGAGGCCCCAACACGATCCAAATAAGCATCCTCATTATTTAGGAAGGCGCCATGAAGGCCCTAGACGACTCCCAAACGGCCCATAGGTGGCTCCATGACAGGCCGGGGGCACCGTCTGGACGCTCCTCAACAGGGCCACCCAGGCATTCCAGCTCTCCAGGGCGCCTTCTCAACGTTCACCCAAGCGTGCAACCGGGCGAGCGGCAGTCCCAAGACGCCCCGAAGATAGTCCGAGGTGGCTCCGAGATAGGCCACAAGGCCCTCACACCCCTGCAGGCCCCCATGTAGATCCCTGAGTCCTCGCCCTCTCATATGGCCTTTCATTGCGGAAAGCAGCAGTTTGCCCACAACGCTAGGTTCGCAACCTTTTTTCTGAAATTCTGTTGCGCACCCAGGACTTCACCAGTTTCGATGTACGCCATTCCGTACGCCCGTGGTCTCCGACTCACAGCCTTTGCCCGTCCCAAGTTGATTGCCCCTTTCTCCCTTTCCCCCGCTTCTCCGCGATCATAGTGGCCTCCGGCCTGTGCCGCCGATCCGGGGTGCTTTTGATGCTATTGTTGGGATGGGCGATGACGACGACAACGGACGACCAACGGTCGACGAGTGGGATCATTACGACGACGACCGACGAACGGGTTAACGACGACGGTTGACGACGACGATGACGACGACGACGTCGACGACGACGACCACGACGTCGACGGCGACGACGACTGACGGCGAACGGCTGCCGACGGCCGACGACCGACGAGGAGGGCGAGGAGGAGGAGGGCGAGGAGGAGGAGGAGGAGGACGAGGAGGAGGAGGAGGAGGAAGAGGAGGCTGATGATGATGACGATGACAGTGACGTTTACGATTCTGTTGTGGCCTTCGGCCAATGCCGCCACCGTGCCTGGGTGGTGTCGGAGGGAACTTCAGTGTTCGTTGGGATCTCGTGGTAGGTCTCTCGGGGGCCTCCTGGGTGCACTTTTGAGGCATCCTGGGAGCCGTTGTGGGGACCCTCGGGGCCTTTTTGGGGCCTCTTGGGGGCCTCTTCTGGGCCTCTTGGGTCCTGCTGGGGGCCTCTTGGGGGCCTCTTGGGACCTTTGGGACCCTCTTAGGGGGCCTCTTGGGCCTCCTAGGGGCTTCTGGAGGCCGAGGGCTCGAATTTTCCGTTCGCGTTCTCCGTCTGGCTCCTCTCTTGGAGCCGTCTTGAGAGCCTCTGGGGCCGTCTTGGGGATTTCTTGGGCAGTCTTGGGGCTCTCCTGGGCCGTCTGGGGGCCATTTTGGGAGCCTCTTGGGATCTTGGAGGCCTCTGGGGCCGTTTTGGAGCGTCGGGAAGCCGAAAAGGCGGGAAAGTAAATCGTACAATGTATGATTTTGGGTTCTAAGGGTCCTCTTCTGAGGGCTCTTGGAGGCTACTTGCAGCGTCTCGGCGGCCTCTTGGGCCGTCTGGAGGTCATCTTCGGCGTCCTGGAGCGCTCTTTGGGCGTCTCGGGGGCTTCTGGGGCCGTCTTGGGAGCTCTTGGAGCCCTCTTGTCCCGTCTTGGCGCCCTCGTGGGTCTGGAGAAGCCCCCCCCCGGAAAAAGCGGACCATAACTCGTCCCCCCCTCCCCCCATTCCATGGCAGAGCCCCCCCGCCCCCCCCCCCCCAGCAGAGCTGAAGCTCAGGCTCTAGGCTTGAGGCTATAGGTGAGACTTCTTCGAACTCACGCGCCGGATCGGCGGATACGAGCCAGCGAGCACGCCTCAAAGGGAAAGAGGAAGGCGCGACAGGCCAACCGCTCCAAAGCTTCAAGGAACAAGGTGCGTGGCACGAAGCGCCAATGCAGCCTTATATATATATATATATATATATATATATATATATATATACATCAACTTTCGACGCTCCGCGCGGGTTCCTTGGATCGTCGCCGGGCCCCCCCCAGCGGCGCTTCCGGCGCCGCCCCCGGGGGGTCGGCGACTACAATTGGTACGGTTACGCCAGGGTGCGGTTTGCGAGTTGCTTTGTGGCGGCATTTCCGGGGCCTCTGTGAGAGACAATGTCATTTCTGTCGTCGTTTCGAGCGACACTGTCATTCTCGATTTTGCTCCACTGTATTAGAAGGAGCGATAGTGTCATGTGATTCGGCCGCATTGAGTGACAGTGTCATCCGTTTCCCGGGGCGGGAGGGGCAGATATGACGGGAGGCAAACCGCACCCTTTGCAAACCGCACCCATTGTAGTCGCCGCCCCCGGCGCGCTTCGCACGCCCATGGGAGGGGAGTCCAGGGCCGATCCCAAGCGATCCGCGTGGACCGTTCATGCAGCTCTTTCTCCAAGGAGCGCCCAGTGCAGCTGGGAGGGCTGGGACGAGACGCGGCGGGCGGCGGAGGCCGCAGCAAGCCACACGCGCAAGCGCCACGAGGTCCGCCGGCCGAGCTCGTGGGAGCACTTGTTCGACCATCTCAGGCAGGACCCGCTGCTGGACGGCTGCCCCAAGGCAGAGCTCAGCTCAGGAGGGAAAAAAACACACAGACACAATTAATCCTCGATTCCCAGGAAAATATGGGAAAATATGGGAATTGGGGGGGAAGACAAAAACCCAGAAAATATGGGAAAATATGGGTTCTATTTTTATTTGTGTGTATTTATTTGTGTGTCCTAATTTCCCTTTATCAGCATCGTTTCGCTCATCCCTGTCCCCATCGGGCCGCGGCATCTCAGCCCCACCCTCACACCGCCCCAGAGGGGGATATACCTTTCGAAGTTCGGAGGGAACAGCCTAGATCCCCAGACGTGCGACGTCCAGATTGTTTTAGCACGGGGCCCCGGAAGTCCCGAGCCTTTCCCCGTGACCGGTTTTTCATCCCGAGTCGTTTTTTGACGGTCCCGAGGCCCGGCGAGGGACCCCCAAGGTTTTTTTCGACGCGATCATGCCTGGGTCTCCATCGATAGGGGGGGTAACTCGGCCAGTGGGGCCCCGGCCACGCCAGTGGGGCGGGGATCATGAAAACAACGATGCTCAAGAGCGGGCAGGCTGTGGCGCCAGCGGGAGGCGCGGGCCTGTGCGAGAGGGAGCGCGGGGTGGAGCGGGGCGCACAGCCGGTCCGGCGTCCGCGAGGCCCAGACTGAGGTCTCCCCTGACTTCCCGAGGCCAGCGCCGCTTCGCGGTCGGCACTATTGCAACTGGTGCCCTCGCCGGCACTCCATACTCCACTCCACCCTAGTTTCAGGGGAGCGTAAGACCTGGGTTTGCCAGGACTCGGGTTCGCCATCGTTTTTTGACGACCGCGACTCGGATTTTGACGAGGAGGAGTTTCGTGGGATGTCTGCAGCGGGAGGCCTCGTCAAAATGCAGGCTCGGCCTCGTCATTTTTTTGACGACCTCGTCGGGGATTTCCGAGTCCCCTGTACCCAGGTCTTACGTCCCCCTGATAGTCACTAGGGTCCAGAAGAAGCACAGTGCGCAGCTGGACAGCCAGATGTTGAGAGCGTGCTCCTCCTCCATGTGGTTCCCGCGAGAGAGCAGGGCTCGATAATTGTGCACGCGCGCGCGCGCGCACGTTCCTCGGCCGTGCGGGCCCCTCCACGCACGCTGAACCCACCCCCTCGCGCTCTTGGGGGCCTCTTGGGGGCCTCGTAGTGCCTCTCCAGGGCCTCGTGGGGGCGTGCGGGGGCGGAAGGCTGGAATTGTGGGTTCGTGTTCCCCCTCTTGGGCCCCTCTTGGGGCCGCTCTGGACCGTCTTGGGGGCCCTCTTGGGCCGTTCTGGGGCATTCTCGAGTCACCTCGGGGCTCCCAACAAGGCCTTCTGACGCCGTCTTGGGGGTTTCTTCAGGGCCTCTTGGACCTTCTTGGGACAGCCTCGGGCGCCTCTGGAGCCGTCTTGGAGCGTCTGAAGCCCGAAAAGGCTCGAACGCAAAAATCAATCAAACACTTCCGGGAAAATGCTACTCCTCGGCGGGGTCCTCTTGGAGCCTTCTGGGGCCGTCCGAGATCCCTGGAGGCCGTCTTCAGCTGTCCGATCGCCCTTGGGGCCCCAGGGGGTGCGGGGGAGTTTTTGACAAAGTGGGACGGCCCGGGGTCTGGGGACCTCGTTCCCATTACGTGATACCGATAGGACCACCCGACGGGTGATAAAGAGGTTCGGGGGGGAAGGGGGAGGCGGTCGATTTGCGATGGCTCTGTGCTCTTGGGTGTGTTCTTCCACTTTGTAAGTATCGCGCACATGTTCCTATATATATATATATATCGGCATACCGATTTAGTTGTCTACTTCGGAGGACAATCGATACATATATATATATATGTATATATACACATATCGATATATATGTATATATGTAGTTAGCTATATGTATATATGTATGCATATATATGTCCAGTCGAATCTAATCGAAGCACAGCTAATCCCATCACATCTCATATCATCGAATGTGCATATATGTTTGTCTGTCTGTCTGTCGATCGATCTGTCCATCATATTCTATACACTTCTTAGTTATGTCTATATGTCTATGAATCTAACTAAAAACCATCAGGGCTACCATCAGGACAACCATCGGGACAACCATCGGGACAACCATTGGGACAACCATCGGGACAACCATCGGGACAGCCATCGGGACAGCCATCGGGACAACCATCGGGACAACCATCGGGACAAGTATTGTGACACCCATATCTATATACGTATATATGTATATATACCTGTCTAACTATCTATCTATCTATTTATCTATCCATATATATATACACCTATCCATTATTCTATATGTATGGTCATATGTATATACGTTTCTCTAGATATGTTTGTATATATGTATGCCGATTTATCTATGTGTATATATATATATACTTATCGATCTATCCATCTATCAGCCATCAGGGCAAACATCAGGACAACCATCGGGGCCACCATCGGGACCACCATCGGGACAACCATCGGGACAACCATCGGGACAACCCCAACCATCGGGACAACCGCTGGGACAATCGCCGGGACAACCGGGGCCACGCCCGGCGCACGGGGGGGGTTGGCCCTTTTGGCAATAGATGGCCTCTGACAGGGATGGACTTCGCGCAGCTTCGCTTCGCCCGCACGCAAGACACGAACCGAAACCGAAGCCGATTTTCCGGTTGGGGTCACTTCCGCTCCAACCCCCCAACCTCCGATCCCAGACCCCCTCGAGCTATGAAAAAACCACGACGGGAGGTTTTTCATTATTTTTGGCCTTTGGGGGCCCTTGCCGGCCCTCGGAACCGTCAAAAAACGACTCAGGACGAAAAACCGGTCCCAGGGAATGGGCCGAGACCATGGGGGGTCGACGTCATGAAAAAATCATGACGTCGGGGGTCTGGGATATGCGCGGCTCCCATCAAAAAGGAGGTCGGGCCCCGACGTCAGCGAGGCCGTGGAGGCGCCGAAACCGCCCCCGGGTCGGCCTGTACCCATTGGCTGAAGGCGATTCAGGGATCTGGGATTCTGTGTCCCACCTGTACCCATCGGCTGAAGGAGATTCAAGGATCTGGGACTCTGTGTCCCGCCTGTACCCATCTGCGACGCATTGGTGCGTTGTCGACTTGCGTGGCACGCCCCCTTTACCTGCGTGGGGACCTCGTGTCTTGCCTGTACGCATTGGGTTTTGTCCTCACGTGAGCACCCCGGTGGAAGCTGGCGCGACTTCGGCTGGCGCGGGATGCCGGCCTCTCTCCTCCCTGTTCGCTTTCTCCCCCCCCGCTCGCCCCCCCCCCCTCCTATCGCGGCGGCGCCCGGCACAGCGCGGCCCCGGCCCGGTGCTGGGCATTGCACCTTGCCGCTTCGGCGGCCCCGCTTGCCTTGGGCAGCGCGGCTGAGGCCCGGCCCTCGGCTATGCGGTCGTCAACGCATCGTGTGTGGCTCCCGCCCGTCTTCACGCGCTGACTGTGCAGGACAGGTTTCCTCCTTGCACACCGTCGACATCCAGTCGGGCACAGACTGCCCTGCTTCTGGCCGCATCCGTTGGCTGCTTCCTGAACGTTGATTGGACTACCACCCCAGACCGCTACCGACCACCCGGTGGCACAACGCTGCACATCGTCCTCGTGGTCCTCCTCATTTCCTGGGCCTCTCCTCGCCATTTGGTGGCACAAGTTTTTTCATCGCCTACGTGGTGGACTTCTACCCCCCGGACGTCGACCTGGTTATACGTCCTTCCGCACGCAGCACCCGGGGATGGTGATTTTGACGCGCCGTCGACGGCAACGCCACACCGCTCACCCTCCGGGGCCTCACCTCCGGCTCCTGTCCAAGGTGTACTTTTTCCTGTGCAAGCTCTCCAGCGCCGCCTGCACCCCGCGCCCTCCGGCCGCCTGAGGCCTCGCCAGCCCGCGCCCTGTTTCCCCAATTCGTGCTTTGCGCGGCCCGCCTAGCTCTTAACCGGAAGAAGCTCGCTCTCGACCCGCAGACCAAAATTGTTACTTGTAGGTTTGGACGGCGCGCGGCCTTTCCGTTTGCGCCCGCGATCAAAAAATCCCCACTGGCCCCTTCAGAAACCTTGCCCATGAGAGTTGAGGGAAAAATTGGCAAAGAGACACATCTAGAGAAACAGAGCGAGCAACCAGGGTGAACCGAGAGACTTCTGGGAGCAAGGGGGGGGCCTTGGAAGGTCTCTTCGGGCCATCCCTGGGGGCCGCGTGGGGGCGAGGGGACGAGGAGGAAGAGGAGGAGGAGGAGGAGGACGACGACGAGGAGGACGAGGACGCGGATGAGGACGAGGACGAGGAGGACGAGGACTAGAACGAGGACGACGCATTCTAGAGGTATTATTGCGGTTGCTGCTGCTGGTGTTCGCTGGGAGTTTTGAGTTTTTTTTGCTTTCGGAACCCTCTTTGTAACCCCGGAAGGCTTCTTGCGATCATCTTGGAAGCCATCGATTACAGGATGGGGGGTCCCCAAGTCAGCTCCCCCATCAGGGGCCCGCGAACCGTTCTTGGGGCTCTCTTGGAGCGCTCTTGGGCGATCTTGGAGCGGTATTGGGGCTGTTTGGGGCATCTTGGGAGCCATCTTGAGCCAGTTTGGGCCATCTGAGCCATCTTGGAGGTCATCTCGGACGCCCTGAGACCGCTCGGGGGCCTCTTGGGGCCTCTCGGGTGCCTCTTGGGGCCCTCTTGGGACTCTCTTGGAACCCTCTTGGGGCTCTCTTGGTGCCCTCTCGGGAGCTGTGGGGCGCCTCTGGGAGGGCCGTCTTGGAGACCATCGGTCAAAGGAGGGGGGGTCCTAGATTTGCCTCCTCCCCTCGGGGGCCACGATCCACGTGAGGGGTGTCAAAAATTGGCCCTCCCAGGGGCCGAAGAAGGGCCCTCTGACACATCGCGGGGCGCCCCCTCCAGATCCAAGGACGGGGACAGGGGGAGTGATAAGCCCCTCCCCGAAGGGGAAGAGGCGTTTTTGGAAGAGGACAGAAACCTCTCGCCCAGAGGGCTGAGGAGGAGGAGGGGGAGGAGGAGGGAGGAAGAGGAGGAGGAGGAGGAGGAGGAGGAGGAGAACATGGAGGTCGCATGTCAGGGAGTGGGACTAGGAATCCAAAGTTCTCAACACCATGTTAGGGCCCATTTCGATCCGTTCGATCCGATTCGATGTCGGTTCTGGCCGGCTCGATTCGACTCGATTCCGATGCTTGGGCGATGCGATTCGGCTCGGTGTTTGCATGGCGCTGCTGTGCATCCTGGCGCCGCCGATTCGATTCGATTCCGACTGCGTGCCGATGCAGTCCGATCCGATGCAAATTTCGATTCGACCCGATGTGCCGATTCGATGCTGATGCTGACTGATCTTTGTCGTGACCTCAAATGGTTTAGTCAACGCGGCGGGAGTCTTCGTGGACCGACTGCAGAAACGGGCAACCGTCGGCCTGTCGGGGCATTTTTCAACTGAGCAAGCAGACAGCACTAGTGCGTGGACGTTCCTTTCGGAGTTTGCCCAGGAGGCTGCAGACCCTGGGTCATCCCTTATCTAATGAGGCGGCGTAGATGTCCATGAGCAAGCACCAGTTGTGTTCCAGTCGCTTCCAGACCCTGAATTCCTCATCCAATGCTCTCTCATCAAATGCCCTCACCGTAGCATAATGTGGTGGATTTGGGCCGTCGTGCCACCGAGTGGCGCAGGGTGATCGTCCACATGCGGCGCTCGCAACGCGGCTTTCTGTTCCAAGCCGTTTTGGTGTTTTTCGTTTCGTTCCGAATCATCCCTCTGCGGTCTGTTGGGCGCCACACGGACAACACAGCGTGTCGCGCCTGATGGGGCAGCGTGGAGTAGCAAATCTTCTTAGGCCAGTTTGGCCTGACTGGCCTCCGAGTCTCGAAGCGGCCCTCCACGGTATGTTGAGCGCCCCGCGCACAGCATTGCGTGCTGCGCTTCACGGTGCAGAGCCTTGCCACCAGCGCTGGCGCACCTGTTTTGTGCACATATGCCACCTTTTTCAAAGTTTTAAGCACTGCGCGTCATAGCGCCCACCTCTTAGGTGCCATCTTTCCATATCTCAGCTGCGGCCGTACTTTTCAGCGCCTCCCCAGTGAGGGAATTTAAGGGCCAGCGGGGCGAAACGATGTAACACTCTGGAGCTTGAGGGTGGGTGGGGGGGAAGCTCGACTGTTGACGGCGCTCACGCAAAGCAGCTGGAAATTCACTCGGGCACGCTGCTGGATTTCGAGCGCTCGCACTGTCGGGTGTGGGCGTACGTGTGACAGTTGCTTCTTTTAATGATCCCGGGTTCGACGACGACGACGACGACGACGACGACGACGACGACGACGACGACGACCACGACGGACGACGACGACGACGGCGACGACGACGACGACGACGACGACGTGGACGACGACCACGACGACGCGGACGATGACGGCTGCGGCGACGACGGCGACGACGGCGACGCCGACGCCGACGCCGATGCCGATTCCGCTGACGCCGCCGACGCCGACGCCGCCACCGCCACCGCCGCCGATGCCGCCGCGGCCGCCGCCGCCGCCGCCGACGACGACGACGACGAGGACGACGACCATGACGGCGACGACGACGACGACGGCAGCGGCGACGACGACGGCAGCGACGGCGACGACGACGACGACGACGCCGACGCCGACCGCGACGCCCGACGCCCGACGCCCGACGCCCGACGCCCGACGCCCGACGACCGACGACCGACGACCGACGACCGACGACCGTCGACCGTCGACCGACGACCGACGACCGACGGCCGACGGCCGACGACCGACGACCGACGACCGACGTCCGACGATCGGCGGCGTCGGCGTCGGCGTCGGCGTCGCCGCCGCCGTCGACGACCGACGACGACGACGACGAAGACGACGATGACGACGACGACGACGGACAACGGACGACGGATGACGGACGCCAGGCGACGCACCAATACGACGACAACGCCGACGCCGACCGCGACGCCCGACGCCCGACGCCCGATGACCGACGCCCGACGCCCGACGCCCGACGACCGACGCCCGACGACCGACGCCCGAAACCCGACGACCGACGACCGACGACTGACGGTCGACGGCCGACGACCGACGACCGACGACCGAAGACCGACGATTCGCGGCGTCGGCGTCGGAGCCGGCGTCGGCGTCGGCGACGACGCCGTCGTCGTCGTCGTCGCCGTACGGACGACGGACGACGGAAGACGGACGACGGACGATGGACGATGAGACGACGGACGACGACGACGACGCCGACGCCGACGCCCGACGCCCGACGCCCGACGACCGACGACCGACGACGACCACCGACGACCACCCACGACCGACGACCGACGACCGCCGACCAACGACCAACGACCGACGACGGACGGCCGACGACTGACGGCCGACGCCTGACGACTGACGACTGACGACCGACGACCGACGATCGACGACCGACGACGACGACGAGGATGACGACGACGACAACGAGGATGACCGCGGCAACGGCGGCGGCGGCGGTGGCGTCTGCGGTTGCGGCGGCGGTGGCAGCGGCGGCGGCAGCGGCGGCGGCGGCGGCGACGACGACGACGACGAGGTCGACGACGACGACGACGCCGACGCCGACGCCGACGCCACCGCCGCCGCCGCCGCCGCAAACGCCGACGCCGACGCCGACGCCGCCGACGACGACGACGACGACCGACGACGACGACGACTCCGACGCCGACGCCGACGCCGACGCCGACGCCGATGCCGACGCCAACGCCGACGCCGCCGCCGCCGCCTCCGACGCCGCCGACGCCGACGCCGACGCCGACGACGGACGACGGACGACGGACGACGAGAAGACGGACGACACGAGACGACGGACGACGACGACGACGACGCCGACGCCGCCTCCGACGCCCGGCGCCCGACGCCAGACGACCGTGGCGGCGGCGGTGGCGACGGGGGCAGCTGCGTTTGCGGCGGGTGCGGCGCGACGACGACGACGACGACGACGAGGAGGAGGAGGAGGACGACGACGACGACGACGACGACGACGACGACGGCGACGACGACGACGACGACGACGACGACGACGACGGTGGCGGCGGCGACGACGACGACAGCGACGACGTCGACGCCCGACCATGACGAAGACACCGTCAGCTGCGGCTCCCTGAAGCACCGCAACACGACGCCACACCCGAACGAAGGAACGACGGGGAAGACACCGTCGACGACGATGTTGTTTCTCCTCCGTCCCCCTCCTCACCCCTCCCTCCTCGTGTCGTGGCCCTCTCTTTCATACCCTTCTTCCTCCTCTCACTTCCTCTTCCTCTCCTCATGTATCCGCCACTCTCCCGAGGCAAAGGCAGAGGACGACGACGATGGCGGAGATGCCGACGATGATGGTTTTTTTCGGACAGCGTAAGTCACCAGGAAACGTGGGCTGAAAGCATCGGCCGCTACCCTCGCGTAGGAGCCCCGTGCGTGAACCAGTAGGGTTGCACGCCCCTAAGTCACTCGGAGAATGAGAAGAAGAAACAATGGAGAAGGGGAACTAGTCACTGTACAACGCATTGGCTCGGTAATCACGCTCGCCCGTCCTCCCGGACTGTTGCGTCTGAATTACCGTGGCATGCGCACAGAAAGCACGGCACGCGCATCAGCCGTGCCGGCGTAGCTAAACTCAGGCTTCACGCAATCGCGCAAACATTTTGTGAACCACCACGTGAAGTTGCGTGCCTGTAAGACTTGCGGAGGGGAAGAGATGAGGAGTAGAGGAAATTGGGAGCTGACAGCACGCATGCGAATCACAAAGAGAATCCATGCAGCGTGCGTAACACCAACGAAAGCCTAGCCCAAGTGTCTCGCTGGGCCTTTCTTGGCGACAGACGTCTTGGTTCTCATGCGGGCCCTTTTGGGGGGGCGGGCGTCCGTGGCCGAGTTGTCGTCCGCGGCATGGTCGTCGTCGTTGTCGTCTGCCTTAGCGTCGTTCGGGTCTTGGAACAGCAGGTGGTAGTGGTTGGGCGACAGCAGCATACGTATTGGGGATGCCTCATTCTCAAAAGGGCGTCCCCATCGCTGGTTTCGCAATCTTCCTCCGACGTTTTGTGAGGAGGCTCTTGATTCCCGTCCCCCTCCGGTGATTACACGATCACGGGCACGCCCGTGAGCCTCGCGAAAGTCGCAAAGATGAAGAACATGGCAAATGTTTAGGGCTGTTGCTGGTACCGAAAGAAGGCGTCCACGTCGAAGTCAGAAGAGTCCTGCACAGCGTGGGGCCCCACCCACTGGGGGTCATCAAGCAGCTCCCTCATGCTTGGGCGTGGACTTCCGCTTGGGCGTGGACTTCTGGAACCACTATTGGGCGCACTCGGTAACCTAAGCCAGCTGGAGCTGCCAATGCCCACCCTCCACTCTTCCTGCTCCTTCTCCTCCTCCTGCTCGTCCTCCTGCTCCTGCTCCTGCTCCTCCTCCTCCTCCGCCATGCGTATGCGCTTCGGGCCTGGAGTGCCCTGGGACGCGAGGCCTCGCTCTCCTGTTTCGTCATCGAGGAGCATGCCCATCATCATGACGGTAGCCGCTCGGTAGAAACGCGCGCTTGTTTGTCGGTCCCAAGCCACGCCGTTACGCAGGTGCCCAACGCGCAAGGCTGGCTGGAGTCGCTCCACTTCCCGAGCTCGCTCTGCTTGTCGGGCTGCAGGGTATTCGGCATGATATTGAGCTGCGCTTCGTACTCGGTCGATACGACGCCTGTGCCGGTTTCCTCCACCTCCACCAAGCCGCTGTTGACCTTGCGAACAAGGTACTCCCGACGCCCGCCTCCTGCATGCTGGAACTTCGCGTCCCCTGCTCTCGACGCGCACTGCGAGTTGAGGCAAATGCATATGTCGCGCTCTCGGCGCTAGCCTTCCGTTGCCGCTAGAGGCGCTGACCAAGCTGTTGGCGGAATTGCGCGTTCGCGATGGCATGTCGCACTTGGTGCAGCCTGGCGTCGACCTCCTTGCACAATGCCCGTGGGTCCGCGCCGCGGGCCATGATCCTCGTGTGCTCCTCCCGGAAGATCGCCCATTCCACATCCGTGAGGGGCTGCTCGCCGTGGACGGCCGCCCTGGCACCCCCGTGCTACCGCCCAGTGGCCGGTAGGGCGCACGACGCGCCAGAGCGTTTCTGACGTGGGCTGTTTCTGCCTGGCCGGGTACTTGGTTGAAGGTCAGCACAGCAGATGCCAAACGGTCCCGCTGGCCACCGCGCATGAAGTCCAGGATGCGGTGGCGCACATCGACCAGCCCGTTGGACTGTGGGTGGCCAGGGAGGATATGCCTCGCCTTGACGCCGAACGCCTCGTGCGAAGCATCCTCTTTGACGTTTCTGAACTTGCCCCCTTTGTCCGTCCGCCCCATGGAGATGAGGTCGCGCTCGCGCGCGAAACGCAGCATGATGGATTGCACGTCCTTGAGGCTGATCTTGTCCACGTCCACATCCCACGCGAACGCCTTGCTGCCGGCGAAGTCGATCGCGGGCAGCATCACCCAGGGGTTACAGTTGAGCGGGGTCGTCTTCTCCAGGTCCTAGCCGACCACCTCTCTGGAATAGTTCGGCCTGGGCACGCGCCTCGACTCCGAGTCGGCAATGCCCCGCGTGCTTCGTACTCGACATTCCTGGGAGGGGGTGGGGGCCCCTTCCCCTCGCCCTCGTCGTCCTTCTCCTCGTCCCCCCATCCGCTCCGCCTGCCTTGACATCCTCCTCCCCCTCTCCCCGCTCGCTGTCTTCCTCGTCGTCGCGTGGCTCCTCCTCCTCCTTCGCCTCCCCCCCTCCCGGAAATCCTCGCAACGCAGGGCGTTGAAGGCAGCGTCGTGCACGAGGTGAGGCCACGCTCTGGAGCCGAGTTCCTCCTAGGGGACGCCGACGATTCCGTCGCGGCCGCGCAGGTGGCTCAAGTCCTTATGAGCGGCGCCGCGGTGCTCGATCTTGTTGGCAGGCGAGGACTCAGACTTGCACTGGCCAGGGGCACTGAGCCACCATTCAGCTCGGCCCCCGGGGGCGAGGCTGGCCTGGTAGGACTTGGGGCACTCTGAGGGCAACGCCGTCTTTGGCGCCTGCATGATCTACCGCATGGCCTCATCTTTCGATTTGTCGATATTTCGCCCCGCG